GAAGCTTGCAAACTCACCTCTCCATTCTCATTTATATAGGCTCCAATTGATTTTGTGATTTTTCCCTGACCAGATCGCGACTCCTTACAGAATTCGGCCGAAAGAGAGTACTTGTCGTCATAACTGCAAAGGTACGTAGAATTTGAAGCAAATTTAGGAAGGCTGGTGAAACCACCAAGCCGACATAGCGTCTGATCGGAACCATGGACAACTGCAGACTGAAACTGAGCTCATTCGAGCCTACTAGTTTTCGCGATGTGATCAATGCTACAGAAGTTTTATTTGCTACAGTCTGCAAACTCTTAAAATTCCGGTCCGGTATTTTCACCCAAAATAGGGGGATCGATGATTGGAAGTCATAGAGAGCCGGTCTCTCAACTAATGCAAGAGCAAAAGTCAAGTTCACGGAAAAAAAGCATCTACTCTCGTTCGATTGAAGTGGAGAACTACACCACCCTAAAGGAAAGGCTCCCAGGTCGCCATGGCCATTCAAGAAGAGATGTATACCACTAGATGTGCCTTCGAACGCTGATCTCAAATCTACCTTCCAAATCTGCTAAACGATTCTCTGAACGGAGTTATGAAGCAAAACAGCGCAACGGTAGTGGTCGGGACTCACAGTCAAAACGTCGTAGGATCGGTCCCTTATCGTAATTACTGTTTTGCATTCTTCAGGAATTCAGCTAATAGGCTATTAAAAGCCGTTTAGCTGTATTTCTGAAGAATGGAAAACAGTAAACACGATAGGGACCGATCCTACGACGTTTTGACTGTGAGTCCCGACCACTACCGTTGCGCTTTTGCTTCATAACTCCGTTCAGAGAATCGTTTAGCAGATTTGGAAGGTAGATTTGAGATCAGCGTTCAAAGGCACATCTAGTGGTATACATCTCTTCTTGAATGGCCATGGCGACCTGGGAGCCTTTCCTTGGGAGACGGAAAACATTGTGAGATTTCCAAGCTATTCTAGCGCCATTTCAAAAATGCCTGATCTTACGTTGGTGACCCCCGACGCTCTACCAAGCAATTCGTCCCTTTGGGGCCGATGTCAGACTGCAAATCCAGCGATTCGCTAGCTCTACAAATGAATGCTGGACTGGCAAAGTCTGACAGCTCCGATATAAAAATGACCTAGAAACGGGAAAATATCAGTTAAATAGAATCCATGACAACACTGCTTTCTCTCATCATTTTTCCATCAACAGAATGAAGTCTTGCTACCACAATCAAGGTCGAGTATTCCTTGACTCGTGGTCGACTGCATTGACGGAGCACCTCCACAGGCTCTGGCGATTTTGGGAGGGAAATTGGAGGAGCAGAAGTTGAATGTGTCAAATTGTAGTATGTTCAACGACGTTATTAAAGCATCGATCAAGGGAGGTGAGGGGTTCCTGCCGAGAACTCGGCTAGAGAGAGTCATACTGCCGCGACCATTTTCTCGCTCAATGTTGCTAATACATTGCTTGAACCACCATCTTCAGGGAGAGCGAAAACCATAGGGTTGCACAGACGGGAAGTACTAGTAATCAAGACAAGTAAAATAAGTGGAATCGCGGCACAGTAGGTCACGGGAACAACAACACAGTTTTTCGCGGGAAATGAAGCTCCAGATTAGTTGTTCGCCTGTGCGAGAGTGAAGCTAAGAGAGTATGAACATAAAAATGCTCGCCATGGAATGCCTTGAACGCCCTGCACGACGATTCCTCTAACTATGCTTGACCGAGTAATCTTCCACCTATAATGGAATGAAAAACAACTCACGTTTTCAACTCGGAGCTCCACTTCCATATCCGTTTCTGTTTGCCGTCCGATTCTTCAGCTTGATAAAAAGTACGTTTCTCGATGTACCACTGATACAACTGCAGCACACCCAAAATGAAATACGTCACCGAGCAGACAGCAAGAACGATCTTCGACTTCGAAACGGCATGGATATAATATCGCTGAGACAATAGCAGTTTGCCTAGAGAAACAAACACAATAAACGAAATGAGCACGGTTGGTCATCAGTGAGTAGATACTCTTTCATCCAACTCTGTCATTCAATATCTAAACAGTATCATGAGACGAGGTTTGCGGGTTACTTGAGCTTTCAAACAAAGATGTCTAAATGATTTCTACAGCTTTACCTGCTTGACAGCGTCGTCCAATGTGTTTTTCACAGTCGGCCCATCCCATTTATTAATTTTGATCGGATCCGTCGGCTTTCCGGTCATTTTTACCTGAACAATGGCATCAAGTGGGAGATAAAAATTATGGGAATTAACTTTCACTAACGACGATTCTTATCAAAGTGTTGCTACCGATAAGAAAACAAAGTTATTCTACATTGGAGCGGCATAGAGCGAAGATAAATTTAGGCGCGAAACGTGGCTTGCATGTGGGGGGGGGGCTGGACACCATGGATATCGCGTCAATATCACGGAAAAGCTCTGTTTTAGACTAAGCTTTTAAGAAGAGGAGAGGAACTGTTCCTGTGTACGGAAGCAATTTTCGTGTTCTCCGGAGTTCGTCCCTGCTGTTTAGGCTCAGTCCTAGATGACTTTTCTCAGAGTGCCCCCCCCCCCGAGCCACATTGCGCCCAAAAAAGAATTTAGAAAACTTCTTCAGCCTCCAAATTTTTAATAAAGAGTATGTGCAAATTTGGTAACGTGGTTGGTTCCGTGAACAAGCATTTCTGTGTTCGGCGACGCAGAATCCGGGCGGGACGACAGCAACGATCGCAAGTTGTCGCACAGCAATCGGCGTGCGACCGCTGCTTCGGCACGGACGACTTATGCGTGCGGCCGTCGGACGGGACCGGTGGAGAAAACGAATGGAATCGCAACTTAATCAAATAAATTCATAGCGGCCTTCTGCGTTCCTCCTATAAATACCATGTCCATCGGTTATACACGCCATAATGTGAGTTGAAAACACTTAAAATACAAATTATCAACGCATGACGCACGAACAAACGCAAACGAATGCCATCGAATGACGCTGAAAAAAACAAAACGTGACACCAAGTGATTGGAGGCGCGATAAACGTTCAGTACCGCAGCACGTTCCATCGCGCGTTGTGCAAATATTGGAACACTCCCACCGAAATGCTTCTAGAAGAACAGTAATAAAATTGTAGAGAGAACTGTTTAGGAAGATGTTTTTGGAAAACGTTAGCTGTAGAGTGTTTAGAGAATTGAATTCAATGAAGGTCCCTCAAAGAAAGCTACAGTGTTTTGCAGGAAAACAGCATGAATTTTGGAGGGTCGTGAAGGGCTGGGTTCTCAATGTTGATAAAGAGAAATGGGATTATAATGTAGTTGGGAATATACCGATATATTTGAAAGTCACTTTTGGTCTGCCTCGTTGGTATACCTAGGGTTTCAAGGATATTTGGGCCTGAGGTATGCGATATCGCCCAAATAACAAATGAATGGGTCCTTCCTGGGTCGTGCGGCTACTGATCAACATGTGCAACTATCATGTTCGATCTGAATACAGCGGGCGAGCTCTGCCAAAAAGGCATTTCATGGAAATCGATGGGAAGGAACGGTGATAAAGCTGCAAGCGCTTTTGATAGCTATGCTGGTCGTTGCCGCTTTTTGTTTCACTGATTCACTTTCGCCGTGACTGCGACGTGCAATAAAACACGCATGTGAATCACACGGAAGGGGCGTGGCTTGCGGGACATGTTGCGAAGTTATACGACGAGTTTCTGTAAAGTGGATACGATTTCGCCAAACACGCACCTTTAAATTACAGCTTTTGAAAAATTGGGGGAAATCTGTTCGTGATTAGTGTCAATAGTTTTGATCTTCTGTACAATTTTTTTGGTTGCTTTGATAAGGTTCCTCTTCTTCTTCTGAGGCTGTGTAAAAAGTTGTTAACATTTACCGTACCCCGCTTTTAGGATGTTTGGCACGAGCTCTATTTCAACAACACCTTTGACAGGAACAACAGGATCATCCCGTTAGTTTTCCTTTCTCTCCTTAAATTTAGTAGAGAGTGAGTAGATGGAAACGGAGGGGTAATAATTGAGAACACAGAAATACCCCTCCTTAGGTCACCAGAAACTGGAGCAAAAATTTCATAGTTGCAGGAAAAAGGAGGTGGTTGAATACTCGCGTGTACCAAGTTTTTAGGCCGAAACTCGTGTTGGGGGGGACACGCGATGGCGCGGTTTCCGCTCTCTTCGTATGCTTCTCCAAGGCTGTAGATCACGATGGCACGCGTATTTTGAAACTGCCAACCATGGCGAACGAATAAACTGGCCACCCTGCGGACTACGGCCTGGAAGAGCGTTACAAGGCTTCTGTAAACCAGGGGGTGAGAGTGTAGAAGGGAAAGCAGACGTTCTTTGTGGTAGTGGGACTAAGCTTTTTAAAGGAGGTAAAGAAAGCGGAGATTCTGTAATAGTGCGCTTGTGTGAGAGCTCCCAGACAGCACAACAAAACGCTGAATTACCTAGTCTCACGGTTGACAGATGTCCGGAAACCTGGAGAAGCAGACGAAAACAGGGCCGTATGCTATGCTCCCCGAAGAACTTGGGGGAAGAAAATCCCTTTAAAATTTCTCTGCCTCATCCACTGGAATTGCCATGATGAACAACTTAGGCCGATGTCAGACTTTGCGAATCGACGCGATTTGCTACGGAGCGATTCGCAAAGTCTGGCATCGGCATTACATGTATGTGGGCATTACCCGTTCTATAATCGTCTGTTCTCTAGCCATAGCGGCAGGACCATTGAGGAACAATCAAAGTAGTCTGGAATACTCGCGTTGTACTAAGTTTTTGAAAACCCATCAACTTTTTCACCATCGTCAACAAGGGTCTGAATTTGAACGAAATATACCTGTTAATCGTTTTTAAACTTCATTTGACTCGTTCCTTCGACTTTTAAAGGTTTGAATTTAGTATTCTCAACAGCAGCTCCAGCTACGTCGTCGTCGACAACTCAAGCCCCATTAACCTTCGGCGGTTGGTTTTTTCGAAAAATTGTTCCTTGTTATTGACATTCCTAACAATCCTCATTGGCGCTCGAATCGTTGGCCTGGAGGGCATTCAATTGACAGAGCCACGTACAGCACTTGGAACTAGCTTACCCCCAGTAGTCCAAGGAGGGGAGGGTTACTTTGGGGAGGAGTGAGCAAATTGTCTTCGGTTTTTCCCCTACCTGGGCTCAGTCCTAATGTCACCTACCATCGGCCCTGTCTTGAATGTTTCCTCAAGGACATGAGCGCCCCTTCCCCATTTTAAGATTAGCCACTCTTATCTAACCATGTCAAAAACGCTTATTTGGGCGGTGGCTGCAGCGCTAATGTTTTTAACATTTTTCAGCATCCTCGTTTTCAACCCCATCACAGACTGCTCCCAAGCCAGTCGAAACCAGTACAGCGTACGTTCCAGTTTTTGCTTCTACTTGAACCATCTTGTCTGAATGTCGATATTTCAGTGCTACTACAGATGCTGGTAATGCGGATACTGCGAGTGGGTCGTCATTGAAACATTTATTGGAAAAGGAGGGATCTGTTGGCTCAGCCTGCTCACAGCTTCTCGCCGGCATGACTGCAGATACGGAAATTAGCTTTGCCGATTTGTCTGCGGTAGGTCTTTCTGTCATTATATCTGATTGTAATATCTCATGCTCTCAAATAGGATTGTGGCTTGCACGATTGGCTTTGTCTTAGCTGATCTCGAGGAGATTAGAGAGAACTTGTCCTGTCATCAATCTGTTGCATACAGCTTGACTAGTAGAGCTGAAAGGCGCGTGTAAAATCGAAACACTATCAGTAGGAGATATTTCACAAAACAAAGTCTTTTTTCAATACACTTCACAGAACGTCTCAGCCTGCGATATTACATCTATAAGTGTATGTTTCTGGGATTCTTCCAGCCTTCTTCAATAGTACTTTCTTTCAGATCACTCAAAAAATGACCTTGGATCTTGCCACTGATGAGCGAGCTTTCTTGAATTGTTTGTTAGAGCTGAATGCGTACGATCGACAGTTGTGGGACAATATGCAAAGGGTGGGGATCTTACAGTCTGTCCATAATTCAACCGCTTATTCGTAGTGTATGGTTTTGTTATAGATCTCTGATGTTGATTCAAAATTGGTAGCATTGGAAGAAAAGCAAAGCAAAATGGTATACAATATGGGATGTATAACTGAAGAACAAAAAGGTACGAACCGTTCTGGATTATTTAGTTGTTTCCAGTGAAAAGTAGTGTTCTACTTTTTACAGCGCTTGACTCAGCCGTCACCGAATTGGAGAAGGCACTAGGTCTTCCCGACTGGACAGATCAAGATCACGACCTTCCTGTTAACGCCTTCTCGGCTACTCCAAGCGACACCAAGAGGCAACAACTGTGAGTGTGCGATTTTTGGGATATTTGCGTAACTGCTTTAGCTCCTTCAATTTAAGTATTATGTTTGAAGGATGCAGATGTTGATCAGCGTTGATTCACAAATCAAGGAAGCAGACTGTGATCTCCAAGAGATTATTGACCAGGTATTTCTTTTACCTGAAATTATTTTTGTTGATGCTTTGACCGGTTGTTCAGTGCTGAATATAAAAGAAGAGATATTTACTTTTCTGTGAAGGATGAGTCGCCAAATCCACAACTTTGGGGTGCAGCACTCAGAGCGCAGGGCTACTTGTAATAGTAACAAACATTTGAAATGAATTTATAACGGTGTAGTATTGCAGGTAGCCGCTCTCCATAAATCCAAAACATCAATGTCGAATGCAAACAAAGCGACTGAAGATCAGGTTGCGCAAATTCTAAAGAACCAAATGGAAACGCTACTATATATCGACCGCAAAGCAGGTACTGTTCCATCGTCAACTTTGTGCAAATTGCTCTTTTCTATATTTGATTTGTTAAGGAGAACTTGAAGCAAAAGTCGAAGAATTCAAAGATGTGGCGGACGGCCGTAATTCAACCCTTTACTCGTGATCTCTTCCTGTTAGAACAGTACGCGTTCGGGTGTAATTCCTCTTATCAATGTTCGCATCAGTGATATTTTGCAGTTTAAAAGTTTACAATGAAAATTATTCTCACGTATTGGATTTGTTCCGTCGGGATATCCGTGTAATATTTTTTTGATTTACTTAATCTTCTTTTTTTAGATTTGCATGTTTTCGCTGTGGGCAATGTTTCCGTCCGTTACGTTTTTCTCTTATTTCATGAAAGTGTGATATCATTTTAGCCGCGAAGAGCACTAACATTTTCTGTTTGGTGACGTCTTTCGATTTCTTCTACTGAGAATCGAAGCCATTCATTTAATGCAACGTAATAGTGTGAAAAAGAAACAGTAGTACTCGCCTAATAGTTACACTCATACTGGCAGTGGGTAACATCTTTGGAAACTCTGCATGCAAATAACGCTTAAAAGTTCTGGGATCAACTAGCGCAAGACAGACGGCTGAGTAATGTGATTGCTGGTCGCGAGTTCACATCGACGCAGTTGAACTGTTTTTAAGTCAAGGCCACATTTCACAATTTCTTGATTAGATCAATCCCTTGCGTGAGTAGGTGGGTTGGTCTGCAGTGTTAGGCCGATGTCAGACTTTGCGAATCGCGCGATTCGCTACTAGCGATTCGCGCGATTCGCTAGCGTCCGCGGTCGCGTTGCGGTACCAGCCAATTGAGTGATTCACTGGCCGCGACGCGACCGCAGACGCTAGCGAATCGCGCGATTCGCAAAGTCTGACATCGGCCTTAAAGAAAGAAACGCGTTGAGCCCGTTCTGGTATGGCCCTACCACTGCTCAGTACTCATTGCCAGTAGCCGGTATGTGACGAAGAGCTTGAGGACGCAGCACGATAGTCGTTCGCGCCGCTCGGTAACCTTAGATACAAAGTGAAACGGCACCTTCGCGAAAAGAGAGAATGATGAGCCGCGAAAAAGAAGTGGTATCATTCTGTCAAATGTGGGGCATTGTGGCCAAGTTGGAACGGCCCCTGGTAATGCAGCATAATAACCATCCATTATGTCCTCTAAAGTGTCAATTTCTGTTTGCAGCTATGTAGCTTTTCCCTAAAGTGCACTCGTTCCCCCTGACACATCCCGTAGTGGGACCTCGACCAGGTGAATCACGGTTTAAGAAACTTGGTACGATGGTTTTTCACCTCCCGCTTCGCAGCTTGGATAAAACGCCCTTCTTTGTCCAAGTCCTCCCGCTTAATCAACAGTTTTTTTTTCTTTGGTTCGTCGAGCGAGTGTATACTGCTACTGTCAAAGAATGTTTAATTATTCCGATGTTCAATTGAGACTTCCCAAAGTTTTCGTAGAAGGTTTAACAAACCCCGTGGTTAAGTTACCCAGGAAACCCTACCCGATCGACAAGGGGTTTGGTTTGTGGCGATCAAATGGCCGTCCGCTGATGGATCTAGTGGGATATAATCTCGCACCTAGCAACTTATCACACCTTTTGATAATTTCCCTCTCCCATCCTCTGAGTTGGATTTCAACGTAGGTCAATTTTCACGTGGTCCACGATTTTTCGGCTTTGGTCTGTTAAAAGGGCTTCACGAAGCGGAGCGGCAGGCTGCCCCAGGTTCCATTATCTCTCGCAAAAGTCATTTACAGGGCTTTCATTCCATCGCCACTTGAGCATCGGTAAGTGAGTCATGTATTCTGATCTCTGCCATCTGCGCTCTAGCCTTTCACGTTAGAGAACACGGAGGAAGGTTCCTATATTATCGGGGATTCCCTATAATCCCACGTCTTGCGATAGTCCAATGTCGATTCCGCGAAATGTGATCCTTTTCCCTTTCCCACGTCGAGAAATCCTCTCCTCATTGTCACCCCAGTAGGGCCTTCACAGCAGACTGTCCTCTTGCTGGCGTCTGGTGGCTCGCATCACGAGGCGTCCCTCCCCTTCGCGGCATCAATCGTCGATGTCGCCAGGGTGTGGCGCCAGTGTTCGCTCACCAGCAGCTGCCTGTGTTCGCTTTTGTGTATTATTTGTCCACTCTCTTCGTTGCACATTCTTGTTCCTTCTTGTAACTCACTGACTCGTTTTTGTTGTGCTAGCAACGTGTTCCGATCCAGAGGGAACATCTTTCACCGCTTGGTTTTTATGAAAAGCCTTCGAAATTTCGATAAATCACTCCGCGAAAGTTTACAACAAGATAGTTATTGATTGATGTGGACTTTCGAACATCATGGCACAGCAAGAAAAACCTGTTGTGCTAAGCAGGAGTCTATCGCTAGCGCTTACCATGGGATAACAGAAGCAAGAATGCGATAAACTCGTCACACGCGCGCCGCGCTTGCGGCATTCTCAAACAATGATGTCACTTTTATTTATGCTTGCCCCTTGTGATTAACAATCCCTCCATTGTGTCACTAATTTGGGGCTCATCCAGTAAGAGAGCGTTGAGTTTAGAGCGCAATGCTTTGAAACCAAGAAATGCATTTGCTTCCTGTCGATCGTTAAAGGAAAGAACCCCGGACAATCTTCATTTTCTTTGAAGCTCCTACTCTCCTAGGCTCAGTCCGAACTGCTTCACTAGGTGGAAATAACTTTTCCTAGACGTTTGTGTTACCAGCACAAAAACAAAACATTCTTTATCAATACACTTGTTGCCCATTGAGCTCCTGTCAACCATCCTCTACATTCTGTCACCGTAATCATTTACCAATGAAAGCGCTGAATCATAGTTGCGAAATACCCGATGAAATAGGGTGCATTTGCATCCAGACACAACTTTTGTCGTTGTTAGTCCACACCACCCATCATCAGTGTAACATTCGACCTCACATACCAATTTTAAGAGCCAACTAACCATACGTATTGCTAATTTGGTGAAAATAGTGTTGGAGGGGACCACTTCATTATGCTCTGCGGCAGTAACGATAGGGATCAAGATAAGGGCGGGGTGTGGTTCACTAGGACAGAAAGCGACTTTTTCGCGTTTCGCAGCGCGAAACATTTTCGCTGCGGGAACCTCAGGTCCACCGCTGATCAGCGGTGGACCTGAGGTTCCCGCAGCGAAAAATGTTTCGCGCTGCGAAACGCGAAAAGTCGCTTTCTGTCCTAGTAAACCACACCTATAAGGGCGTTGATAACGCTAAGGGAGAGAGCTTCCGTAACACTTTCATCTGCATGAGCTGTCTGATGAGAACCGGCTGAATGAGCCTGGAATGGCGCGGAGAAGCGATCTTGAGCCAAGAACAGGTATTTTCGAATAGGCCCAGGGGAGAGGAGCTTCGCTGTGGGAGGACCACTAGAAGTGTCAAAAATGGTTCCGATGTCGATGATGTAGGACATTAAACCGGTTCTTAATAACAAGTTACTTCTATGAACGTATTACTGAAGTTCTTATGCTCACCACTAGAGGTATTCCTAACCTTGTCAGGATACTTATTAGAGCCACAGAGCAAGCACAATGGAATGGCCTCACCAACTCCATTTTCACCTGCTAATGGAGCGTTCATAGTTGGCGATCGTACGTGCGATTAGGCGATTAGGCGATTAGGCGATGATTCAAAATGAAAAGTATACGAATCGATTAGGCGAGTAGGCGATAAGAAAAGATGCGTATCGATTAGGGTAGGCGAGTGGCCGATGTCAGTCTTTGCAATTGGAGCGATTTTGCACCAATCGCAAAGTCTGACATCGGCCAGTAGGCGATAGGAGGAGGGTACGTACGATCGCCAACCATTAACACTCCATAATGCGTGCGGCGAACAAAGTGGCTGCATATGCATTTTTGATTTTTGTCTCCCTTACCATTCGTTATCAGTTGTAACCAGTTACTACCTACAGTCGATATCCGAAAGTTGGGGTGGGTGTGTCACCGGAAGTGACGTGCACTTGATAGAAGTGCGTGGATAAGCTGTTGCCAGCATGCTTTGCTGATATCCAGCGATGTATGTTGGAAGCAGCTTATCCACATAGTTTCTATCAAGTGCACGTCACTTCCGGTGACACGCCACCCCAACTCACCGATATCGAGTATATCTTTACAGACGTGCCTATACACCGCCCTCCCACATTCTGTTAGGCCGATGTCATAGTTTGCGAATCGAGCGATTCGCTAGCGAATCGCTGGATCCGAGCGTTGCGCCAGCGAATCGAACGTTGCACCAGCGAGTCGAACGATGTACCAGCGACTCAATAGTGGGGACCCAACGTTCAAAGGAAGCCCGCTACTTTCAAACAGTGTCACGTGACAGTGGACTTTGTGCAGTGGCGGGATTTAACAGTGACGGACAATCGGGTTTTACCTTCGATCGTTGTCCCGCCGGCTGAATTTGAGTCGCTGGTAACTTATCGACTCGTTTGCATCCGGTCGATTCGCTTGGCGGCAACGCTTCGTAATTCGCGAATTCGCTAGCGAAATCTCTCGATTTGCAAACATATGACATCGGCCTGAAGCCAGGGGGCCCCCAACCATACCTAACCGTGCGGCCGCGGCGAACGCGGCCGAGTTGATAGGTGCCCGCGAACTCAGCACAGCACAGTTCGCGGGCACCTCGAGTGCGTTTTCAACGGTTCGCGGGCACAATCGACTCGGCCGCGTTCGCCGCGGCCGCGCCCAAATGGTTAGGTATTGTCTGGGAGCCGCCTTAGGGATTAACGCCAATTGATTTCTGCGCACACCACACCCTAAACAGATTATTATATATACGGATAGATCACCTGGTCAGCCACATGATATTGCATGTTATCAGTTCATTGATTTAAAGCATTGGGTGTCAGTGTTCATTCTCATTGCTTGTGGCATAACTGACAGTTGTTGGTTGTTACGCTTGTAGCTCGTCTCACAAAGAAACAGATCAGCATGGACCCTTTGAAGGTTCTCGTTTGTATTTGTCGTATTCCTTGCTCGTTTCAAAAGTTGTAAAAGTTTACCATTTGGTGATTTCAGATGAGTGACGATAAAGTTAATATGGCCCTTGATGATATTATCAAGCTCAATAAAAGAAAGCGAAGTGGGCAGTCAAGCGGCAGGAACAATGATCGTGTGAGACAGGTGAGCATTAGTGCAACTTTGTTTTGCTGATATGATTGCTCTGTATGGGCCAAAAAATACGCTCACCCCGATTTCATAGTTCACTCTCCATTACCAAGATTAAGCGATATGTAAGGCACTCTGAGTCTCTCCCCAATCCTGGTAAAGCTCAGTCCTTATAAAATGGCTTTAAAAAAGTTATTGGCAAATGAGGAATAATTTTCTGGGGGCCCCCTCAAGCACTCTGCCCAACTAGCCAGCTTTCTGAATTTTCGTATTCTTCGAAAAAAAAAAAAACAGTTCATCACGAGTCTAGGCTTAAGGTAGGGAGGAGGGGGCATCTTGGCAAGTGCGTTCAAAACCAAACAACGACCAACATTACGTTTATTAATACACGCTTTGACCCTTGTTGCACAAGCAAAAGGGATCATAATACGAGATCCACTTGTCACGAGTAATCGGATTACCTTTGCCGATATGCTTAGGCTTAAACATTACGAATCGTTCTCGCTTTGTATGCTGGTTCTTTACTTATTTAAAGGATAAAAAACTTCCATATGAAACATGAAAGTGCTATAACGGTTCAATTTTGCAGGTCAAAGGCCGCACTTTTGTGGGCAATCGCGGAAGAGGTGGTCTTGCGCAACGTCGAGGTGCTCGCTCTAACATTGTTCAGAGACGAGGTGCTCGCTCGGAGCCCGTACAGCGTAGAGGTTCTCGCTCCGATAGCGCAAGTGTATCAGCCGTGAATAATGCTGCTACCAGACGTTTTGTGAAAAATCTCGTCAACGTAAGTTCATTGTTTTTGTTTCATTATCCAATGAATTGGAAATGTAAGCACTGTTTCTTTCAGAAGACGCTACAGAGGATGCGAGCTAAAGCAGCAACTGCAGCGGGCGTCGTGAACCCCCGAGCAGTACGTTTTTAAATGCACAAGGCATTTTCGACGACACGGTGTCTTGGCTCTCGACTTCCCTCCGAGTTCTGATGGCTACCGTTGTCTTAATCATCCGCGTTGGAAATTCGCGTGTAATGCGGCTTGCCACCGCCCCTACCTCTTCTTATTTGCTCGATGAAAAGGCAGCAAACTGAATAGTTTGTCCACGGATGAGATTACTGAGTGTTCCGACTTCTTCATCCTGCCGGACACCTGGTTACTCGTTCCATGTCATGTCGGCGATGTGCAAGAACTGGTTTCCTTTTTCTGATTACCGAGACGGTTGTAGGTTATTTTATAGTTAGCATCATTAACACATGTTTACAGGTTCGTGCCGATGCAGCGATCGCCAGGGTTAATGTTAGATCACGCGGTATTCGTAAGAGGGTTGTGGAGGTCCCTCGTGTAGTGAGTAACATCAACAGCGTACAACGATCTTTAGAGGTGTTAAGCTTTGCTAAGAATTGCTTTATAGATCGTAAGAAGACCGAGAATCCGTGCTGCTGTGCAACGTCAGGTCGTGGAGGAAGAGTGAGTTTTTGTGTGGTGTCTGCTCAACTCATGGCTCATCCTATAGTGCTCCTGAGCACAAGTTTTTTTTGTCTGGTCCAATGCAAGGGTTTTTTCACGTTGATTACATTTTCTCGTTTCTTAAGAAAGATCTTTCAGACCGGAACCTGTGGTATATCAGGCGGTACGCGTCGTTAAGCGTGAACCTCGCGCCGTTCGACCGGTGGCAGTAGTTCGTGCACGCCCGGTGAGGCAAGACTATCGTAGACCTGATCAACGTGCTGTAGGCTATCGTAGACCTGACCAACGCGGTGTAGATTTTCGTAGACCTGATCAACGTGGTGTAGACTTCCGAAGACCTAGTCAACGTGGTTTACAAAATGCACAAAATGGTCGTGCACAGATGTTGCCCGTGCGTCGGTTCGTACAACAACCATCTGCGCAGTTGGCAGCTCCTCGCCAGCGAAGCCGTATCTTCGTGCAGCAGCCGGTCCGGGCCAGCGGCGGTTTCGTGAGGCGTAATCAAGTATTTGCAAATGGTGGTGGACGTCAGAATCAACGTGCCTAACGTGATCTACGTGAACGAAGAAATGAGTTCCAGGGTAGGTTTTGAAATTCCATGTTTTCTTGGTGACGAATCTTGTTCTTTCTATTCGTTATACATTGTAGGTTCAACCTTCTGCTAGAAGTGGAGTTCGTTTTGTGAACAAGAGACCCAGTCGCCAATACGTGGAATATGACGATGACGTTGAAGAGGTGAGTTAATAGGTTTCAATAATAATACAGTCAATCTCCGCAGCTGTAGAAGGAAGCCATTTGTATGATAAAGTGATGCATGCTGAGAGCCGTAGTGCCCTTCTGTGTATTCATCTATTAAGATTCGAAGAATAATTGGAATGTAGATTTGGGAGCATTTCATTTTTGCTTCAATCATACAGTTCCTTATTTACAGTATGATCGCTTCCCATCGACCAGTTTCCAAGGTAATCGCAGGACAAAGCGAAAAGGACGTGGCTTCACTACTCAGTATGATTACTGAGACTGTTTTACCATGTTTTATTATTCCTACGCTGTTTTTCATTGAAAATCCACTCCCTGTATGTGTAATAAAATGTAATGTCTGTGTAAACTGTTGTTTTAATCAGTTGTTTCATTGTTCATATTTTCGGAAAGTGAGCCGATCACTTCTCAAGTCTTAGTTTAGAATTTAATTCATGTGTTTCATTATTTGTGATTAATAAAAGTTGTGCATTCGGAACTCGTTGAACCAGATGTTGACTGTCGTCCTACTACCGTTTTCGGCATAGATCAGGTTTAGTCCTTGCGGTGGCCGTGCCATGATTGGGAAAATCTTTGTTTTCTTTTTCTTTGTAGTGTGTCTAGTGTGAGGAGCTTGTGTGCTTTTTGATGACCCAAGGAGGAAATTCTTATACCTAAAGGAGGGAAAGGAAATGTACTGAGAGAAGAACTCGATCAGTTGAGGAATGCCGTAGATTCGTGGCGAAAGGAGGTGGCTGGAATGTGCTGCATGAGACTTAGAAAGGATGGACAAAGGAAAATGGTAGCAGGAAACCTATTAGGGATAAATGGCATTGAACAGGTAGAAGGGTTGAGGGTGACAAAATAACATTTTCGCAGAGGCGCGATGTAAAGTGATTCTGGGAGGATGTGGTCGCTGTGGGGATTAGGAAGCCGTATATGTACCTATCTCGGTAAGCGACAACCTCGGACCAAAACTTGGCACGTTTCCAGTGGGCGCTCGTGTATTTGGAAGATATCAGCACAGCGCTTTGTGGGTGGTTTGTGGATGTTATATACCTAGAAAAACTTCACTGATGAGAGAATCTTTGAGAGAGGGGGTTGTCACTCCGCCATGAGAGCCTTCTTTGTTATCATATCGGTAATGCACCAATGTGGTATTATTTTTTGCTTGTAGTGTGATTGATCAGATGGAAACTCTACATTTTGTAAAGAATAAACCCACTGCTGGATGTATGAAACGATAGACCGAGTATCCACGTGCCAATGCAAGCTGAATGGGAGGCAAACAATTCTCGTTCAAACAAGGTTTGTTGAAATAGCAATTCCGATAGGTCGTTAGGTTAGGTGAGCAGTGGCTCCAATGCGTTACACTTTTATTTATTATTTATTTATTTATTATTATTATCTATCAGTTCATCGTCATGTGAACAAGGTGGCTCGTACAATATAAACTCAGTACGATAGAACGGCGAAATTTGACATATAGGTATTTATGAATATTTCAAGTAGAATGGGAAAATGAACAGCAGCAAAATTGATCTGAAAACATTTCTTTTGCGAATATCCCAGGCCATGCTAGCAGTTTTTTAGGACATCGGCAGATTCATCGGGTGAAAAAAGGCTCGTCAGTTCCGAAGCCTCCACCAAAGAAGTTGCCAATAGCAAGGTCCATCACTTCCAGAGCGTTTGAAGAAGGAGGTTGGGTGAAGGCTGATGGTATTTATGACACCGTAGAATTTCCTTGCATTTTCGACTCTCTGTTATCAGGTCGTTTTGTCATCAATAAAAACCCCCTGGATAAAGATCACAGGAAGAATGCCGTCTAATCAGGGTCTGTTCGACGTGAGTAAGAAATAACTTTTCTCATTAATCTTTCAGTATTCCGGCTTACTCACTGTTTTAAGGAGGTTGTTCGATTCCAGAGAGCAGTATCTCAGATTGGCTAGAGTCGGATCACAGTGATGAACTTGCACGCCAAAAACTTGAAAAGTTGCAGTATTCTGCCGACGATGGCTTTCCTGAAGTACTTGATCTAAGTGCGTACTACAGGTAATACAAAAAACGACGGAAAGAATCAATACGCTGTGATCCGATTAAATGAGTCACGAAGAGTGTTGCGGACAGAAACGTCTGTCTGGATAGAAAAGTTTCTGCGCGCGGTGATGCTGAATTCTGATCGTTCGCTTACATGGCAAAATCGAGTCCAGTCAAATTTACATACCTTGCATCCTCAAATCCCATGATTGTCGATGCAACCAAGAATGATCGTTTAGCAGGCACTGCATAGCCGCTCCCCATTAAGCCATGCTTACAGTGCTCATCAACTAGGTAACTAGAAGTACGGTATTGCAACGACTTTGAAGATGTTTGCTTGATGTGACGCGCGACCCTGACCAAAAAGCGTAACCCTGCGCTTGCGCAACTTGTTCCTTACAATGCCGAAAATCAGCATGCATAGGAAATCAAACTAATCACCATTAAGAGCAGATATATAGTCTCTGAAAGAAGATCACAAAGATAATCCCAAAGAGCACTAGTATGCTGGCGTATGGAGCGGGTAAGATTCTGTGTCTCAATCACCACGTCCTTTCAGGATACTGGAATTTTTGCATGACTCGCGTTTCGCGCCATCTCGTGCACATACTCGTCGCCTATGCCCAAGATAATAAGCCATGTGCCGGCTTCAGTGGATTTGATCTGCTTTTGCGCGTTATTTTTTCTTCATCTATGCTTCTCCAATTTGGGCTATGAGTCAATACCCCAAAGATGGTAAAGTGACTTTAGTAGAACGAAGTATGCGCTCAAACATAATAAATGGACGACCTATGGGACTATATTGCCGCGAATACGTCGATGAACACTGGGACTACATTTTCATCGTTTCTGGTTTCTTTTTACTCGACTGCGCACTCGACAACGCTGGCGCAGATCACGGTGAGTTTGAGGGGAGGGAGGGGTGGGGGAGGGCGTTACGGCGCCTGGGTTGTTTCATTCGAAGCGCGAGCTCGGGATTAAGCTGAAAACGAACTTGGAGGTGGCCGCTATAGCATCTGGGTCATGTATGGCTCGAGTATTAGTTTTATTAGAACTTTTTGAAAGGGTATTATCCAGTTACCATGGAACAGTTTCAGAGGAAGTTACATGTATACTGGACGAGCCAATGGTCAACGAAGACGACAATTATGAACTGGAGAATGAAAAGTAAAAAAACTTCATATTACTTATGTTTTCTGCGCTTATCTGCCTGCTTATGTTATCGTTTGACAATAGTGATTGTAATAGAAAAGTCTGTGTTTAAGATATCTGGCAAGTCTTGGTGAAGAGAAAATCAACGAGCTGAAAATGGAAATCGCTGAGAAAATAGGTGCGCTCACTGTGAGACAGTAATTTGAACAATCACTTTAATGTTTTATTCAGACAAGAACACGATCGCGTTTTTGAAAGAACGATATAAGAAAAACCCGAAGGCGGTGGATACAAATGCGAGAGGTATACCTACATATTCTCAGGGAACATTAATTTCTTTGTTCTATCCTCATGACATTTGTAGTGTCGAAGTTCAAAGCATCTCGTGCTAATGGGACTTCCGAGAAATCGTCGTCAACAGAGGAATCGAAGACATCGATGGCGCAACCTCCACCACCGCCCCCCGTCGTACAAGACATGCTTGATCAACTTGAAGTCTTAGAAGAGTTTGCTGATCGAAGTGACGAGGAGAAGTATAACAGGCTTGCTACTGTGAGGTTTTCGTCCATTCAAAGATATATAGAGCGAAAAAAGAGTCACTCTGCTTATTTTGTGCGTCAGTAAAGTTAAAGGCAATGCTTCGGAAAAGACCTGCGCGTATATCCTTTGTAGTAATAAAGCCTGGCTTGCGATAGTCGATGCGCCAATAGGCATGCGCTCGAAAGATCGCGATACGCGACATAAGTCTCTCTTGATTAGCGACCGTTGCCGACGATTTCTTGGAAGGAGCCGCTGCAGCCGCTGTCTGTACTCCCTCGTACGGCGGCTCACTCGCGTGCTCTGTCTTCTCTGCTCTCTCTGTTTCTCCTTCGTACCGCCTCTGACTTCACAGAATGTTTGGATCCTTAATTTTAGTCTTTTCAATGGTTTCTTTTGCTTTCTACCACTCACCCACTATGTACTTCCACCTTCTTTATTGAGCGCTATTATACCCCAATTTTTTCGTTGGATTGCCTTCAAGGCCGCACATGGTGACGGCATGACTTGACGTTGACTGACTTCCAGTAGTCTTCTTGAGAACGTCGCTGGCAGCGCGATTTTGCCAACCTTCATTCGAACATTCTCTCATTTCCACTATTCATTTCTATTATGACTTGAGTCTGCCAATTACTGAGGTTAAGACACTTTGAGATCACCTACAATTTCGACCCTGATGATAAGAATATGGATTCGAGAAGGGTCAAGCCAATAACGTGTTTCACGAGTCTCCATTTTTGCCACCATAACTGTATATCATCGTTGCGCATCGCAGACGTTGATCACTCACGACCTCAAGTCTGGCGGGGGCGGGCCAACATTGTACAAACAAGCAGTGATACTATATCGACACTTCTCTCTTTACGTTCACGGAATAAACCCGTTAGTAACTCTCTCTGCTCTCACACTCTATTCAATATCATAAAACCACTGAACCACCGCGAGGTGCTTTATAAAGGGTTCAATAAAACCCAAGTCTCAGCGCCCACTATACTGTGGACCTTTATTGGTGTCATCTAGGAATAACAATTTTATGGCTCTTTTTTCATGACTCGAGTTCAGCCTTGCTTTCTTTCTTATAGGATGCCTTCCAACTGGACTTCACTACGAAGTGCTTGCGCAGTGTTGCACCTCGTCAACAGAAGAATGCATTGAAGTTATTCGATAATTGCAAGATAGCTACAACCAGGTAGCTTTGTCATTTCTACCCAACGTTAAATAGGTCACATAAGAAGCAAAATCAAAACGAATCAGAAGCGGTGTTGCTCAGTGGAAATGGAAATAGAGCTGCTTCGAAGTGCGCAGTGAAGAAAAAATTAAGGGAATCACTTTAAAGCCCGTATAACAAGAACCTAATTTCCCCGATCGTTTCCGCAGTGAGCAACCACTTTCGGTGCTGACGCCATCAACATACGTTCTTCCTCGCTCTCTGTAAATATGGAGTTTGACGGCGAGGTAACTACAACCGGGGGTAGCGGGCGGCCACGAGGTTGTTAGCGCCGAGAAGGTCTTTCTTCATATATCACTACGGGCGCCAGTCTCGCCGTGAAAGCGCCTCCTCTCGGTCCCTCAGAGGTGCAGCCTCTCTTTAGTAAAAATATTCCCCTTCGTCGACATCCACATCATCGTGCCGCCGGCCTTTGAGCGGTTGTCGAATAAGTTACCCTTCTGTCACTTATCGACTAGTTCCCTGGGTGTTTTCCTGACAATCTTCTTCTCATTATTGCTGTCAGGGCTTGTTTATGAAATAAAAGTCAGTGGCGAGAGCAGAACACTTACTTAACCCATCTAGCATATGACGTCTTATTATAAAACGTCTTAGCGAGAGTTATTTTTGAGAGAAACATTTATAATACGCATAATACTTCCAAGAAATGTCACCCTCGGCATTGTTTGGTCATATTAACATCTTATCGAAGGTTATCTACCTGACATGGCTCGCGATGAATTGGATGACGCAGCGCTGTCTAAAATTCTTTCCAGTTCCACTCTTCAGTGATTTTTCGCATTGCACAGTACCTTATCCCGGCAATGGCTCTCCTTCATCACTTCAGGAAAAATAATTATTTTCAGCAACGCAGATCCTCTCGTGGAACTTGCACGATCACGAATAGACGACATCAAGGAGCTTTACCTTGAGGAAGTGTAAGTACTTTTTATTGCCTCTGCTTATATCACAAGAGAATTATATTTGAAGGAAATCCGGTGACCAGACGTTTTTCCAATTCGCGAATGGAGTGAATCCTTTGATCGATGGCTCTTGGACATTGGTTCCTGTACGTCGAGTATTGGATGCTGTACATAAACGAGAGGGGTCAGTGCACAACCTTTGAGCCATATGAGCCGCGTTAATATGCAACGCATGGGGAATTCTGCGGAAAGGACGGTTGATTTGACATCTCTTCCTGGTTTTCAAGAGATCCGGTGGTTCAAAGACTCGCGTAAAGTGTTGGATACCTATGAGTTTGGTTGACCGTGCCACCTCTTTCTTGAAATCATCTGCGTCACTCCGGTTCCTATCATTGATAGATATGCATCTATTCCTTTTCGCCACGAATCTCTGAAAACGTTGTGTATGAACGTGGCCATGCTAGTGTTTGGGGTTCATCACCGAGTTCTGGACCTATGCTGCCATTTCAGAGAGGTTTGTGCAGATGACATTGATATTGTTCGTCTCGCCTTATTATGGACGCTACTGCTGCACGACGAAAGGCTGACTGCTTTTCTAGCGTTCGCAGAACCTAATGACGTTTACGTTCGCTTAGCAGAAGTTTTATTAATAGGTAAGTGACGTGGGATTAATCCACGATTTCTTCCGAAACTCTCAAAATATCTGTAATTTAGGACCGGAAGTACTGGCTGACGATGTTATCGCGTCGTGCTATTCACGTATTCTTAGAGATTATGTTCAAAAGGTGGTATATTAGTTTTTTTCTTCAGCGACCGTGAC